CCGATACCATCAACTATTCATTCACCGATCGAATGAGATAGAAAAGTACCAAGTGGTGGATAGCAGCAGCATTTTACGTTTCGAAATGGCCTCTCCTCTCCATTCACAATTCATGCCCGACCGTGCTCGGCCTGTGCCTACTGACCGTGTCTGACCACCATGGAGGCAAACATCCACTGGAAGAGCATTGTAACTTCCACTCCATAAACCACGTATCGTTCCTCGCTGTACACCATTCCCAACCCACAATTTCCCAATGTCCAACGGGAAATCCATTTTCCCAACCAATTCGTATGGTTCTACATTCACTTCCTCTTTTTCCCTACCTCTTCTCTCCCACGACTTCCAGTCGAGTCATTGTTTAAATAGATCCCGGGTTTATTTCTCTCTTTCAGGCTTTTATGGAAGGGTAAACGAATTGAATTCTAATACCGAGACACTTTGGAAGATTTAGGGGATCAGATGAAAGGATGGATGAGGTTCTCGGGTAGATATCGTAAACAAAGGGTCCTTCAGGAGTTGACACATATTGACTAGTTGAGGTGACCCATTCATCACGAGAATTGAGAGGATTTTATCCTATTTTAGTCCTATTTAACATTTATTTTACATGAAAATCATTAGATTATGAATTAAAAACTAGGATTTATCACGCGAAAACGAAGTTATGAAGCAGTTGGATGTCTAGAGGATCAATTGCAATGAAATAAAAAAAAGAAGAGAGAACTTATCCCTCCGATCACTCTCATAATTGCAATCTATTCCAACCTTTGTGGTTCTTTAAAAGTTGACACAAATTGACTGGTTGAGTTAATCCATTCGTTACGAGACATTTCCGTTCTTCCAAACATAAAAATTATGAGAAGTCATGATATTATGAATTAAAACCAAGGATTTCTCGGGCTAAAAAAAGTTGTCAAGCAGTTGGAGGACTATAGCATCAATTGGAATGAAATAAAAAAACTTCGCTCATACCCTTCAACAACTAAAACTTCTCCATCAGATGACTTTCATAATTACAATCTATTCCAACATTTCTGGCTCTTCAAAAGGCATAAATTGACTGGTTGAGATAATCCATTTGTTACGAGACATTTCCGTTCTTCCAAACATAAAAATGATGAGAAATCACGATTTTATGAATTAAAAATAAGGATTTCTCGGGCTAAAAAAAGTTGTCAAGCAGTTGGAGGACTAGAGCATCAATTGCAATGAAATAAAAAAACTTCGCTCATATTCTTCAACAACTAGAACTTCTCCATCAGATCCCTTTCATAATTGCACTATATTCCATCCTTTCAACCACTCTTGATAAATATGCAATAGTTTCGCCGAGTTATGGACAATAAATTTACCCAACCACTTCCTCAGTTAACGATTTCCTGCTTCCGCATCTCGAGGAATATACCTCCTTTTTCTTCCCTCATTCCTTTCATTTCTCCAACGTCTCGGAGTTGCCACCCCTGTCGTCGCAATGCTACCCCACAAGACGAATGGAGTGAGAGGGCTGTCGGGAAGTGAAACGAGTTGCTTCCTCGAGGCACTGTACCCCCTTCTTCATCCAGACGAAGTTGTTGGCGAGGTGAGAGGGGAGGGTTTATCGACTGTCTGAGGGGAACGAGTGAAGTCTAAAAAGCATTTTCATTCACCACTTCAACTGCCAACTCAATTCCACTCGATTTTTACTCCATTTCGGGATTATTTCTTCGGTTCTGGGGATAATTTGATTAATGAAATGTAGATGGGGAGAAGTTGTGATGAACTTTACTGTGCAAGTCACTGTAGTGAGGGAAATTTGGTGTGAGGGGAAATAATGAAAGAGAATTGATACAAATTGCAAAGTGAGCGATTAATTTGAAAGGAGGTGTAGGCAAGACGTAATACATCTTTAGGGAATATTATCAGCTAAAAAAATTAGGATATTATCGCCTGAATCCATCATTTTTCGAGATTAATACACGATTGACGAAAAGTGTGAATCTAAGTAATAAACGGATTCAGTAAAAATTGTTGATCCATCATATAATTGGAGAAAGGTGGATATGAGGGACTATTTGGCTTCTGAATGGAAGGATTCCATTCGTCAAATCCGAAATTTTCTGTTCTTTTGATAACTGAAGGAATAAATGTTTAAATAAAGCGAATATTCTTCGCAACGCCATCTTCACTGTCTTCAAATTTTCCGCAATTTCCCGGAAAATATGATAGTAATTCTCATGAGAGTGACATTGAATCCGATTTAGGAGAAAAATGGGTATGAAATTTCAAGTTTTAGGTAGAATTCAAGGAAATTCACGAGTTTTCGGTGATAGTGAGACGCAAACTTCACAAATTGATTGGATTTTTAATGGAACATGAATATTCAGACATGAAATGACATGAATTTTCAATTTTTCCCTGAACTTTCCTAATTTTTACAATTTTTCACGAAACAATTGAACTGAAAAATCCAAAATTTTATTGATTTTCAGATCATTCGAATAGAAATACAATGGAATATGTGATTTTTCAATGACAAGGTTTCCTGAGAATTCAGTAGAAATTAAACCTGACATAAATTTCCGGGATTTAACACGGGAAATTCAGACGAATTGGGTTCCATGAATCATTGAATTCAATTTAAAATACATAGCCCTAAAAATTCCATTCGGACGCAAACTACTAATTTATTAGCAAAAATATATTCGTTACGTTGTGATGAAAGCAATTACCCACTTGTTTGACCTGTAATCTGCATCAAATGAACAATAACAATTACATAAACTCAATTGCATAATGAAGCTTGAAAAAGAAATTCTGAAAATTCCATTCGCTCTGCTCGCCCCTAAAATACACAAGGAATTCCTCCGAGTGTGAAACATTCACGGAAACACGTCAATAAATACCAGACATGTTTCAATACTCGTGCGAATCTGTTCGAGGGATTATATTATTGAGTGGAAAATTTCATATTCCAGGATGAAATAATAAAAGAGAATAGACAACAAAGAACTCGCGAGTCAGCAGTAAAATAGTGAATAAAAATCTGTTCTCAGTGTCACGTGTAGAGTTCCGAACACATGAATACATCTCTAGCACGCTTCCGTGAAAATTCTCGGAACTTGGAACAAAATCCTATTTATCTCGTGAGAAGATTAATTTTTATTACAGATTCACAACTAATGAAAAAGTGGAATTCAACTAATAAATGAATTCAATTTAAAAAAACGTGCGTATCATGTAATAGGGGACAGTAGTGCTACTTACCTTGGAAATTATCCCGTTATATTTTCACTGAAATTTCAAGGAATTTCGTCATTAAAAATTCATAATTTCATGAAAAAGTCAATAGAAACTGCGAATTTCATTTAAATTATTCAATGATAATCTGTAGAAATCAAGATAATTCAGGTAAATATATTCTTGAATTAGTAATTTAATATTTTCAATTTAATATCAATGAAATTAATTGAAAATTCTGCGTAATTTGGAAAATTTCTGAGTTCCTGTTGCTGAAAAATTTAGAATTTCATTGAATTTTCAGCGAAATATAGACCTTCATGACCCCCAAGTAAAATTTAATGTCATTCTTCTTAAAATTACAAATCAAATCTCCATGAGATTTTTTGCCATTTTTTTTCTAACAGTATATCAAACGAATGATGTCAATTGTATCAACTAAATCGTATTATAAAACATGATGAAAAGCCTGAAAATTTCACTGAGAAATTACTAGAAATTCCTCCAGACATGGAAAATCGATGAAAACACGTCAATAAATACCAGAAAACTTGTTCCACCGCCCAAACGAAGATGTTGAAGAAATTAATCGGTATTTCATGTTGAAATGGTCTGGAGGGATGGGAACTGGCTGGTTTTCGTGATGGGTGAAGTAACTTGCGTTTGGTCCGGGGTTGTCTAGCCGCGCGGGGCTCGTCCGGGAGAGTCAGGTTCAAGGACACCGCGGTCGATACCCCCCACTTTTCACTGAAAACGCTGTAGCGAGGGTGCGAATACCACGAGTGGTAAGAAAGAAAGAAGAGATGAGCCAGGAGGAAAAAAGCCAAGCTCTCAGTCTCATGAGGTTCCCAGCGAATAAATTGTCGCATCCCGATAATTTTTCGGCTTGCGATACCTTCGCGTCTCGTTGCCAATGGGGTTAGAGGTTGTACAATTTATTGGTATTGCCTCTCATGTATTTTTTATCACACTTTTTTTTCTTGTTTCCTCTGGCGTCAAGGTAGCCTACTTTCACGGTGAAATATTGCGACGAGAATTTCTCGGAATTTTTATCAGATGAAGTTCAACTTCTGGGCAGAAATGAAGATTAAGAGTTGTTGGTGTTCTTAATTGTAATAGAGTGGAGGGTTGTGAGCATGAGGTATGGGGAATATTTTTTAACGGGGTTGCTTTTTTAGCGGAAAGTGCAACATTTTTTTGTAATTTTGGGCTGAAATTTCTGGAACACTTCTGGGAAATTTTCATAACGTCAAGGTTTCACTGAAATTTCAAGACATTTGGGCATATGATCTTTTTCACCCTATATCGAGGCAAAAAATGCGAGAAGATTTTATTTTTACGTTAAATTTTGCATTAGTTAACTGGTTAATATTACCCAAAAAATTTAAAATATTAAATCAGTCATCAATTAAATATTCAAATTGTGAATTATTTACTCAATAGTCAATTGACAATATCATTTTATCAATTACTTAATTCATATTCAATTGAAAATTTAAATGATCAATTATTTCACAATTTTTCAAATTTCGATGAAGATAAGTAAATCTTAATTATTGTAAGGTTCAACTTCTCATAATATTACAAAAATAATGATTGTCGATCCCTGGAAAATAGTGGATTTTTCTCCGTCGACTTGCGAAACTTTACTAAACTTCAGGGCAATTTGTCCCGAAACTATAAAACTATTGCCTTTCGTATAGTAGAATTCGCCACAATTTTCTTGTAATTTTCATTCAATTTTTCTCTCCGTGCATTGAAAATTCAAAATTTTTTGGAAAAAATCAATAAAAGCTGTAAATTCCAGTTTAATTATTTCATAGCAATTAATAGAAATCAGGTTAATATGTTCGTGGATTTCCAATCTATTGAAAATTTAGAGTAATTTGGCATTGAATATTCATCTTTTACTTAAAAATTCAAGTAAATTAGAGAATTCCCGTCTTCTTGCTGCCAGAAATATTCAGTTTTTCTGAAAAATTTCTCAACTTCATGTAAAACTGTGAAGAATTTCTGGGTATTGAAAAAAACGCATAAATTTGTGAAAACGTAGACAGGTACCTGCATACGTCACTTCTAGAAATGGAAATGTACAAATGAAGGAGATCATCACCCATTATGTACTCGACTATCCCAATAATTTAATATCCAACTATAACACCGCATTTGGAATGCTACGTTTCACCACTTCACCACCGACATAACGTGGGCTATTCACAGCAATCCGCAAAGAGACGAACAAGGGCTTTTCCTCTCTTTGTTACGAACGAGAGGAACAGTAGATCCCCAAGATCTTTCAGAATAATGGAAAATGAAGATAAAAAGAAAACAAAACAATGCGAGTGTCAGCCGCAGCGTTCGCGCACTGGGGAAAATTACGGGAGAATTTTCATTCTCTTCGTGTATATCAGTTACAACATATTCCTGTTTACCAGCTGTTACTTTTTACATTTAATAAAGTCTCTTGTATTCATAACGGAAGACGAAGCATACAGACTTGAATGACTTAATAAAGAACATCGAGAAAATGTTTCTCGAAACATCCAATTGAAAATAGAGTAGCGAAGCTTTGACTATTGGCCCGTTTTTAATGAATATCTTGAAATCTAATCAAGATAGTAAAATTTGTGTCATAAACTTTTATGTAGAGCGAATTGAGGGCTTGGAAAAAGGTTATTAAGAAGAAAATTTCGCATCTCTCTTCACTGATAGAAAGGACTGGTTTTTTTTAACGAATGGATTTGGTTGGAGACGAGGGTCTATTCGGTCTCACCAAATGTTCATTCGTTAATAGTTAACAAATGCACATTTGAGGAGCCTTGTTCGACTCGATTTTATCCTTTTCAAGTAACTCATTCGTTAAATATTAACGAATATTCATTTGGTCATATTCAATTTACCATTCGTTATTAGTTAAGGTATCTCGTTTGGAATAAGTGAATCATTCTATCAGTGTTAGATTCCTACACGGATAGACGGGATTAGTTATTGTTAACAAATGGATTTGGTTGAAGGCTAGGGTCTATGCGGTCTCACCAAATGTTCATTCGTTAATAGTTAATAAATGCATATTTGAGAAGTCTTGTTTGACTCGACTTTCACCTTTCAAGTGAACCATTCGTTACTATTGATGAATATTTATTTGGTCATATTCAACTCTACCATTCGTTAATAGTTAACGAATCTCGTTTGCAATAAGTGAATCATTCTATCAGTGTAGATATTCCTGAAAAACTCAGCTTGGGCTAAATCGACTTAACCGTTTTATCGCTTCGCTACAGAATTCGCCTTCGGGAAATAAAATGTCAGAAGAAATTCAAATTGGCAGAGTGACATTGAATTCGATTTCATATTTCGCGGAAAATTAACTGAAATTCCAAGTCTTGAGCTGCAAAAAGACAAGAATTCCTCAAATGACTTGAATTCTCAATGGAAACATGAATATTCAGTACTGGAAATTGAAGAGTATATCCACCAGAATTGTCCTCATTCTATAAATTTTCCTGGAGTAATTGAACTGAAATTTACATTTTCCATCGATTTTCACAAAGTGTACCGGCAATTTCTGTCAAAAAATGCACTAAACTCAAATTTCAATTTTTTTCTCAATTGATTTACGTTGTGCAATTTAAATCGTCGAACAATCTGTCCCCAAGTAATAGTAACTCTGAACTGTCGAGTACAATTGAACGTGCCCGGGTGATTCCATTGGCGCGAATAAACGGCAATCGACAGAGTGATTAATGGAACCGATAAAACCAACTGCCAGTCCTGCATTTCCCTCTCACTCATTCTCAGTTTATCTTCTCACGTAGACTGGAATAAATGATTGTTTGAGGAATAGCCCCGCTGTGAATTGAAATGGTGGGTATTTGTTTTTTTCACCAACATTTTTATAGAAAAGTTTTGGAGTAGAGCCATTCGTAACCGATAGCCATTTTTTCCAATTGATCGGGAATTTGAAAATCGGATTTTCCAACTGTCGATGCAATAAATTTAAGTTTCTCTCGGTACGTTGGAATTTGATTCGCGGAGAGAAAGAGAATTGCAAGATTGGAAGGCGCTTTGAACTGGAATAAGTTATTAGTATGGAGATTTTGAAATTACCCCAGGGAGTTTGAATATAAATATGAAATTTCTGAAGTAGCAAAGGGAATATTGAATCAGAAACTCACCAGCAGGACAGAATCTACCCTCGGGGCCATCGTAAATGGCCAAATTTTGCTTCACCGGTATCGTGTCATCCTTCAGGGTGAGGTGGGGGGGCTGATCACCTTCGTGATTCGTTCCAGTTAGTGCCACTGAGGAGAGGAGATCAAAAGACACTTGGTTGTCGGGTTTCGGGTAGTCTATCGGTGTGCACTGAGAGGCTGGCTTCAATTTTGTGTGATCAGCACCTGTTACATATTCAAATTCATATATTGATTGAGTATTTGCATTAAAGTGAAGACAGCTTCATCAAGTATGCAATTGTCTTCCAACAGAGTGGCTTCAGAAGAAAATAGCACGATTATATAGCACGATAATAGCATTTTTTTAATGTGGCAAAATTTCCTCGTTAAAAGTATTTTCATATTCCACGGTAACATAATCAATTCTTTGGGAATGTTGATGCTTTGTGCTTTCGTGGTAACGGAATACGATAATTATTAAGGAGATCAGAAGAAAATGAAGGAGATGAATTCGGACAACTTGGAACGTATCTTCGTGATTACCAAGTCTTGAAAGTTTAATCCTAAACAGATGAACATTTGGTTTTTCTAAACAAAAATTATTGTTCAGTTCAATGATTGAACGGCATTCAAATGTAGAAAATTAAGTGTTACATAGAATGACAAGGATTATGTGATAGCAGCCCTGTAACATCAAACGAAATATTACGAAAATGTTCTGCAACAGATGAGATTTTCCGATCAGATGATCTATCATCATTCGAGAATGAAACATCAGCGATAAATCCCGTAGAATCAATTATCCACAAACCTTTGAATTGTCTTGTTATCCATGTTTAGAAATTTTGTATGTTCAAAAGAGAAAATTTCAACTTTAGTAATCATCAAAGAATTACATTATTGATTCATTTTTCATGGTGTACGATACAACTAGAATTCAATGACTTCTAATCAACGGAAAATTATGAAACCGATATGTAGTTGAAGCCACAGTATTCCTTTTTTCATTATTATTTGTTCGGTTGAGTTACTTCCCATAGTTTTAGAAAGAATCAATTTTGAAGAGAGTCATTCACATTGTCATGACTCGATGCACGGTATCGATCCCGTACATGAGGGGTAACAATCTTTTTCTTTCTTTAACAAGAAGAGACCAATTTACAAAATAACAGTCCAGTTCTATCATGGGGAATGAACATAGAAATGTACAAACTTGAGAATTACCTCCGTGAGACAAAGTCCAAGGCTCCCTGCCCCCAACGAGCATCGAAAAACCAGAGTACATCAGACCCCCGTACATCCCCAGCTTGCTATGAAAACTAGGTCTGAAGTTCCTGACGGCATACAGCTCCTTCCATATCCAACTATTTTTAATCTTATCCGTATAATTTTTGGGCTCGAGTCCAGTTGTCGCCGGGGAATTCGTCTCAGCATCGACAATCGCTTCGATTGCACTCTCAACAGCCAGCATTCCACTCTTCATGGCGTTATGGACTCCCTTGATCTTCGGAACATTTAGAAATCCAGCTGTACAACCCACTAGACACCCTCCAGGGAACTGCAGTTTCGGGAGACTTTGGAATCCCCCTTCTACGAGTGCTCTAGCACCATAAGCCACCCTGCGAATGAACGTATTGTTTTTCTGTGGATTTTCTTTGGTTTTTCTTACATATATTTATTTTTTAAAAGTGAAACATTTTTGGTCCGCAATCTATTTTGCTAAGCATATGCTAAACTTAGGAATATTTCCAGTTTATCTTAGCTTTTAAATAAAAACTACTTATTTGCATATAAAATGTACATAATAATAATAATGTACATTTTATATTTAAATAAGTGTTTTGTATTGATAAGCAAAGATAAACTTGAAATATTCCGAAGTCTTGCACAGGCTTGACGCGATATATTGCTGACCAAAAGTGTTTCACCTATTTGTTAATAGAGGATTGACATGAAAATTAGTAGACAGTTCCTCGCAAAAGGTTACATTTTCACACTTGGCAAATGGGAGTAAATTCACTGGTAGATGCGCCTAATTTCATAAACTCACAACGTTAATTTTTCATCGTGAAAATTTTCAAAGATCATTTCTCAAAGTTCTTCTCAACTCTAAAGATAGAAAAAGCAGATCTCAACTCCTTTTTAATGAATTATGTATTCGTCATTCTATGTATTCACCATAGTGAAAATAATATGTATAAATTATTAGCCAATCATGCCCTTTTTCTTAGTTTAGACAAAATTTGGACTTTTGGGAACTGCATTTTTAGAAATGGATCAAACAGCTTTGTTTTGCAACTAAATTTTCAAAGCTTCTTTCCGCTGTAGTTTGATTTCTTTTTTATAAAAAAATCGAAGATAGAAAATCCTTATAGAAATAATCCCGATAGAATGAATTATATGGAAGAAGCAAAAGCTGCACGTTAAAATTCAATAGAATTTCTTGGAGGAAGTGCTATAATTTTCTATTCAATTAGACAGCTGACCTAAATTAATTTGAGCAAGATAGACTTCTCGTTAGAAACCATCATAAGATGCTTTACGACATCAGAGACAGTAGATGACTTTTTTACCTCTTTCCTCCCTCGAAAGTCGGTCTTATGGCAGGATGCTGCTTAAACCTCTGAAACTCCTTGAACGGGTGCAAGTACGGATTCCAGTAATCAAGACCGACTACAAAACCCACTGCCACTAATGGGGTTTCCTCGTTTAGGTGATACAAAAACGAACCTCCGTAGGTGTTTTTGTCCAGTGGCCAGCCAATCGTGTGCTCCACTGCTCCCGGTCTGTGTTTGTCCGGTTGAATCTCCCAGATCTTAAAAAATTGTGATTAATTTGTCTTGAGTTAGTTCAGAGATTTGCTGTGATGGATGATGGGAAGAAATCTTAAATCAAAGATTTGTTCATTCTTGAAAAAAATTATGGTTTTTCATTTTTACTAATTTTTCTAGTGCTACACAATAATTTTTCCAAAGATGTAAATTGCGTTTCGTTTATGGCACCAGCACACGAATCTACCTAGAGTCGAAAAACAGTAAAATGTAGTTCTAACATTTAAATTTGTGAATTGAAAAATGAGAACTCAAGACAACATAATAAGACAATTTATTGATGAATATTTTTAGGGAAACATCGGGGGAACAGTAAAATGTCCGAGAGACTCTCTGCAAGCTTATGAAATTCGAAACCTTTCCGTTTAAAAAAATTCTGAAAAATCAGCGTAAAAATGAATTCCGCTTATTCAAGTCTCATTGAAATAAATATTTGTTTCCAATATCTTCATTCAAACATTAGCTCTTTCATTTGACCCCAAGTAACCCTAGAAAATGATAAAAGCAGTGAATTTACCTCTTTGAGTCCAATTCCATAACTCTGTGGTTCACAGTCAGCCCGAAGATTCAATTTCCTCACCAATTGTTTCGTCAAATGTCCATGACACCCCTCAGCGAATATCGTACACTTAGCATGTAACTCCATGCCCCTCTGAAACGTACTTTTCGGCGAGCCATCCTTGGCGATGCCCACATCATTAGTAGCGATCCCCTTGACCGAGCCATCCTCATGATACAGAATCTCCGAAGCTGCAATACCAGAGTAAATATCCACTCCAGCAGCCTCAGCCTGCTCTCCGAGCCAGGCAACAACGTGCCCCAATCTCACAATGTAGTTTCCATGATTGTACATTGGCATTCCCTTGAATATTGGAATTGGAATTCTCCCTTTCTCCGTGAGGAGAGCGAACTTATCCTCGGTTACTGGGGTCTTCAGAGGTGCTCCCAATTCCTCCCAATTTGGAATGAGTTCGTTAAGGGCAACTGGATCAATGCAAGCACCACTCAGAATGTGACCGCCCACTTCTGACGCTTTTTCCACTAGAGTTACACGAATGTCTTTTCCATTTTTATCAGCTAATTTCTTGGCTTGAATCGCTGCTGACATTCCTGCTGGACCTCCACCGATTATGAGGATGTCGGTCTCGTCGGCTACTCTTTCCATACTTATATCTGCAGAATTATTTTTGAACAAATAGTTTTTTTCTTTGCGTTCGATATTTTTTGATTGGGGAAAGGTGGGACAAAATTCACACTTTTGAATTTGTGTTCAATATTTATAACTTTGGAACAAATTTATCAATTGAATTCACTCCCGGCTTAACGCAGAGGGGGACAAGTTTACTTTTCATGAAAAAAAGTCATGCAATTTCATCAACAATTCCATGGACTGTTAAGAAATTAAGCTTCATGTACTTCTATGTGAAAATAGGAAGATATTATGACCGAGGTCCATTTATATTATATTATATTCATATTGAATGGGGTATATGAAACTAACAACTTATTATTGATGTCACAAACAACAATTGTGATCTTTTTACTTTCGAGGTTTACTACCTTGATCTTCTCTTTACCGCTAGACATTTATGTTAATCTGAATATGTAAACTGCAATGCGTTTGTTATTTTCATACCATTTATAGGTCTTGTAATTAGCTTCGGCTGTTTTGAATTGAATAAGCAAATGAATAAAATAAATAAATATTTCACAGCAAAAGGTGGAGTGAAATATACGAAAAGCCTCAATCACAATTAGTCCCAAAATAAATGTCCCTATTCGAGCCAAAGATATTCTTTTGAAACTAATCAACTTTACGGCATTATTCCAATGCTAAATTAATTACCTTTCCATCGTGGATCCGTCTCTCTAGGAACTATTGTATAGTGAGTAGTGATTTTTGGAAAGGCGGCATCTGAGTACGCTCTCTTAGAGAGCTTTTGTAACCCTTTAACTAAAAATGAAATGTTCCCACAATTATTACGTTAAACAATTATGTTATTAATATCATCTTATTATTAAAATAAGATGATTCTGAGATAGAATTCGATCCATCAACTGTACAAAAGGAAGATCACAAAATTTTTTGTTCCTACCTCTTGCAAAGAAGTCATCTATTATATAATAGAATATATTTATGGAGCGCATCAAGGAAATAAAATTTCTAGTTTTTTAGTTTAAAAAATTATAGAAATTCTCCAATAAAATCCTAGGTTATGCAAGGGTGCAAAGGTTTCCGCCAACAACAATTGAGTAATAACTCAAGTAATGAAGTGTGTCAAATAATGAATACATCACCGATGTGTGGAAATTTGAATCTTGAATGATTTTCATTGGAAGAAAAAAATCGAATAATTAAAAATAATTGACACATAAAATTGATTGGGGTATTCACCGAATCGAGTTGAGTGGAGAGTAGCTGAAGCCATAGTTATACACTGATAACCCACAGCTCCGATGGATCGTTGATTGGTCTGCAGGTTGCCCTTAACTACTGACCACCATCAAGAATGACTCTGCTGCTGACCCAGAAAGTCAAATATTTCTCACTTCTATTTTCGCAAAAACCTGTTTGTTGTCTAAGGGAATCGACCAGTGGGCTGCCATCGCTGAGTGTTTACTTCGCGTTCGATTGGTGGAGGAACGACAACGTGGAGTATTGTTGCGGATGCCAGTTCTTAGAATGAACGAGAGGAGGCAGGTCTGTTATTGGGCGCCCGAAAGCGGGATTATTTGAATCAAACAATGGTTAAGTCTTGGGTTCGAGTCCGTGCGCCTCCAAATTTTTTTTTTGTGCATTGTTAATTATTTGATTGTTTTCCTCGTGTAGAGGTTCGGAAAGTCGAAAGATAGCATATAGCATGCTGCTTTCCGTGTAATTTATACCTTAAAAACATCTAAGTTTTGACTGAGTAAAACAGCCCTGGGAGTGATACAGAATAGTTAAGTGTTGTAACCTGGGAGTGGGTCGATGGTATTTGCAATAAATATGGCAAAATTTCGAATACAAGCACCTCAAAACATTAAATAGAACTGTAGTTTTTATTTTATTTTATGTGAATACAGCAATTGTATCTATTATATTTCACGATGGCAGATATTGATGACTGCATTCCCCGCTCGTTAATAATTTTATTCAAATTTTGGTTTATAACACTAGAGCAGTTGATTTACAGTGGCTACACTGAGAGAAAAAATTAGCTCTGCCGAAAACTATAATATATCTTCTACGTGAGACTATTTGATGGAGTGGGACAGATTTACTTGAGGAAAATAAACTCCATAGGGTTACACCATAGAAAGAATACATTGACGAGAAAAGAATATTTTTTTCTGTTGACAGTTTCAATCTCATCTAGCAATAGAGTAATTTTATATTGAGTCCAATACCTCATAATTTCAACCCTATAAATATGAAAAAACATCCAAAACTATGTTTATTAATTCCCCATATGAATCCAGTCATTAATACTTGACTCTATAAATTACTATCTCATAAATAAATGCACACGTCGCAACGACTATGCCAAAAAGAAAAATTATAAAAGGTCCACGAAAATGCGAGAGATTGAGTGGAACCGCATCGTCAGCGTGTATAACTCTTGGTTTCAGCCTCTCCCGATCCCTCGCCTGCCATTTTGTCACAAACCCAGTCTGCATTAACCTGCCAATACCTGCATTGAATTTTGATAAATACGGAAATCCCTTCTTCACAATAATTGCGCGCCAATACTGTCCCACGATTTCGCGCATTTTATGCATCTTGGGAATCTTCAAATAAGATTGAGTGATCTCAGGTTTGCTTCGCACACTCGAAATTATCACCGTGTTCAGGAAACATGCGACATTTCCACCCGCAATCAACCGTTCGTAACAGTACCTAGAGGAGTGTTTAGTTGTTATTCGACTAACTATTTTTTGCATGACCTCATCCCTCGACCGATTCAAAAGCGGAAAGTGTTCTGCATCGGTCATCACAGTCAGATCGCTGTCCGCCAACTGCTTCAGCGTATCAATTCGCTTCTCAAATAACGGATTCGTCATATTTTCAATGAGGTGACTCTGCTGAATTAAAAGAAATAATCCAGCGAATACGATCCAACTAATGGCCAACACCTTCTCAGACACTCTCGTCCCTACCTGATAAAACTGATGATGAATGATCAATCGAAAAGTGTTCAGGACGGGAGCGTTTGTTCCCTTAGAATACATGTAAATGACCGAAATGAAAGAGAACAGAATCAGTAGTATGAATGTCATAACGTCAAAACTTTTGAATATGCAAATGATTTCTGGAATGACTTCAGGCATTGGCACCACAGCTTCAGAAATGAAGCGCGCGTGCGGTAGGAGGAACTCGACACGATCGCTTGCTTTTCCCCAGATATGGCTGTTACCCAACACTTCCGAATAATTTGTTATCAAATCGTAAATAATCCCGACTACTGTTCCATTTGGTGATTTCATCCTGTAATATTCGGCTGTAGAAATCGGCCGACTTCTCAGGTCAATCGTGAAATTCAGCCACGACGACAGAGACAGCAGTAACTCGACATCGCTGTTGGCCCGCAACTGAGAGATATTCGTCACAGGATGTGACAGGAAGGTGTCATACATCGATACTGCTATAGGATACCCTTGGAGATTCTTCATCTTGTTAGGGTAGAGTAAATCAGCGACTGCGAGGGTGTACACTTTCCCTCGAACTCCCCCTTTATTTACCCAGAAGGGATCGTAACTGTGGACAGCTAACCCATGATTGGTTGAATCATCGCTCATTGTGACAAGAATAACGTTCAGAAAATCGAGGGACCAGAACGCTTTCAGGATACTCTTTATGTCGTCATCATCGGCGTGCCTCGTGATCCAGAGGACGATTTTGGTTCGTGACAGGCAGGTGGAACCGTAGAGCATCTTCCAATTGATTGGGTGTACAGTATCAATAGATTCAAAAATTCCGACGACGTGACGGAGCTTCGGACAGATGGAGTCGATGTATGGGTGGACGAAGCCGTCTTCTTGCACGAGGAACACCGGTCGCAAGGAAGTGTATCCCATTGTGATAAAGTTTAATATAGCGTGATCGACCTGAAAATTATGAAAAGGTAAGGGAAATAATTTTTTGAATGACAACCATTGTTCTTTCTCGAATGGAGTATTCATTAAATATGAGAGCTCCTGATTTATGATTGACTGTGTTAGTATTCTCAGTCGTTTTTCCATCTCGTGACACGAGAACCCAACGTCTAGAGTAAGAAATTCATAAACACTTCAATGAATTCGTATATTGCCTAATTTATTTTATGGAGTTGTCTTGAGCGATTTCACCTCGAGAGACGATATAGTTTATTTAAAGCAACAAATTAGTTTTGTAATTAGAGAAATGTAATTGTTTTTCTTACTTTAGGCTGTATGATCATGTGAATGGGCGACAACCTCTTCACTTCAGCCATGTGTCGTCCAATAAATTCTTGTATTGCTAATCGTCTGATATTGCAAAATTCATGAGTTGTCGCCGCAGTCATTAGCAACGTGAGAGATAACTGCATTAGAGCAGAAGATACACAAACGTACCGGACAATACGCATTCCTGCTAATGTCTCAGCTGAGACTAACGCTCCCTTGATTACGATGCTCCGTACGTTCGAGAGCTTTATTATTTTCGTCGAAAGTTGTTCTACCGATTGTGGACAGTAGTGACTGAAAGTGTTCTGATCAATTATAGTAATGAAAATATAGTTCGCAAAAATGGCGATGCCATTTTGCGGATTGATTGCTGAATTATTGAATATGGTGGAAGAACCTGTTGGTCTTGAGTTTTGGACATTACTTCATGAGTTCATGGCCAAGCTGAGGGCTCCCATTTAATCGTTCATATTTCTGAATATTTAATGAACTTAGTTCTCCAGAGGGAGCTCTTCGGGTGATTGCCCAGTGCATAAGACAAAATTGATACAAAATTTGATAACTGGAATAAAGCTATGAAGTTTAGCATGGATAATCATGTTGATTGGCTGCAGTCCCTCCACTTTTGCCAAATGTTTCCTAATTAATTTTTCAATTTCTACCCATTCTATATGACGAGATGCATGGAGTATTGCAGAAGTCATGGAGTATTGCAGTCGAAGCGATCGGAAAATATCCATGTTCACTAAATTTTACTAAATGTTCACGTGGAACTGACACTTAGTCCATTTTTTCGCACCCCTGAGAGGTCGTACCTTCTTGTATAGATTTATTATTATTTTCATTAACATCTGTTCAACTCAACATTAACACTTACATAAGAAATAAGAGTGAAATAGTCTGTTTTGTGAGTATATCACCGCGTTTTTGTAAATATGGATCGTTGCCATTTTTTATTACATACTATTAAAGCTCCAATGATGGAAATTCAGTTTATGTCCGTCATAAATTTTTTACATCCTATTGTAAATTTTCCGGTGATATTAAAATTTTCAATTTTTTTTTCGCTTCTAGTTATTAGTTTTCGACACATAAAAAAGCGCAGGAAACGAATAGCTTTTTTTAATAGACTGTTAACATAACTCCAATTGAATTCTAGAGTTCCGATAAAATTCAATCGAGTTTGTTAGAGAAAACGCTAGGTTTTTCTACGGATTTTTTAAAAATATTCTATTCGAATATTTAATTTAATTATCTCAGCCCTCTAGGCGTGATTATAACGAAGCTTGTATTGATCTTCACTTCTATAAGGAGAGGGTAGATGGTATTGGTTTCATGTCATATACCCCCCAGCCTCAGGAAAATCGGGGATTCCCCCATTCGACGCAAGGTAATGTACCCACAAAAGGTAAGCGATTCCAATAAAAACGAAATCAAATTAATTCAATTTGTCATAGTAAATATTTATCTGAAAAATAATGAATGATTGAATTTGAATTGCATCTCAACGTGTGGTAGTGTTGAACTGCTGGAAGAACTCCGGCATATGTTCCTTCTTATAAACCCTGCGGTTCAAATACTCCTGGTGCATCCTCTGCTGTTGCGCGAGTCTCAGGTTCTCCTCCGCAATTTGTTTGCTGATTTGCCTTAAAACATATCGGCAGACATCATACACGTGTAATCCCCCAATCTTAAATACCACTAATAACATTACACGTCAACCCAACTGAATGCGTAATCCAATTTGGTCGATGAGTACAGATAAATCTAGATCACAAATTCTCCGTTGCAAAAACGCATGGCATGGATTATCAGACACTTGTTTTCAGTTGAACATACAAAGCTACTTACAATCTCTTTTTATCCAGCTCTCGTTGGTAAAGCTCACCAGCTCGGGCATTGCCCTCCATCAGTCTGTCCCACTCTTCGTTCCTACGTCTCTCCTCCAACTTCATCCTCTGTAATGATTCCTTCTATCAAGTTGGTTAATTTCCCTTAAGAGCTAATTTTTTCTCGAAAAACTCGACAAATGCATGAATTAATCGAATAGACGTGCTATTTCATCAGTTAAAAAATTAATTTCTGGTATCATCATTTCTCCCGCAATCCACTCAACCTGAATTTCCTCCATCTGTCGCGACTGTTCACTCCATATAGCCTTGAGCTCGTCCAAGGTCATGCCCTTGTAGCGTTCGGCGAGAACTCGATGGGGACCACGACTGCTCTCCGCCTGCTCCTTCGCTTCCGTCAGGAAGTCACCGGTCACGTGATTGTATATCTCAGCGCGGTTGTCCTCCTCGTCCTTGAAGCTCTCAGTGCGCCTCCGATACGCCTGCTCCTCTGCCTTAAACAGACGAGCCAAAATGACGACAGGAAATCCGTCAAACTTTTATGACGCGAAGCATTTCGCGAATCTATTAGTGGATTCTGGGGAAATTTACGAGTTTGCGATTGAACTGAGCGTTGGCCTCTTCCAGATGCCTTCGGCACTCCATCTCCATCCGCTCGAGCATGCCGGCTCGTTTGTCCCGGGAGATGACGGCGTCCTGATGAGCTTCGTCTGCGTTTCTGCGCTCACTTTCGATCGCTCGTCGCTCGTGGACTTGCTGCATCAGCCAGGCTTGCATCTGCTCTTTTTGGAGCTTCAGACGCTCCGCCTGGTTCGGATCTTCACCCTCAAATCTGGGGAAATTCATTGGATGATTGCATTCGGAAAAACGACGCATTTGAATCGATACACGGAGAGAAGGTTCCATGTGATTTCATCACTGCGACATATCATCCGCCGAAGAAATTCTTGGGAATTTCAGCCGGCAACAATTCATTCGCTGAAAAAAAATTCTGCGACATTTCATCCGCAATTTCGGTACTAAGATATTGATAAAATAAAAGAAAGCAGAAGAAAAAACGGAGAATATAACTGTGGAGAATACATTTACACCGAGAATATTTAATCTGATTTTTTTCGGGTGATTTGTCGGGCGGATGAAATGTCGCAGTGATGAAATTACGTGTCACCGGAGAGAAATGTTCACTACAAATTACAGAACTCGCAGTTCGCTCATCGATTATGGAATCCACTCAGAAAATTTAAGTGACGGTATCGTATTTTTTCATAAGAGATTCAGGTAAAAAAGGGCTTTGTGGTTCAATTCCTTGGAGTGTTTTCATCATTTTAAATTAAAAACTCATTTTTTCGAATCGTTTTTCATGCAGTTTCGTGTGGACATCGACGTTGCAGAGTTAGGTTACCGAGTGTCAAAAGCATATACCCCTCCCTTTGGTTTGACGTCGGGGGTAAAAATTACGGAACACTCTGGAAAAATTCTGTAGTTTTAGGTAAAAATTACGTGACAGTTCCGTAAAATCTCCTGCAACCACATTGCCCTCCGGAATTACGGAAAAGATACGTCATTTGTATTGAATATTTCTCTCCATGTGGAAATAAAAATCTTGATTTGAAATTTACCCGGGAAGGGATTTTTAAGAAATAAAAATTTTTAATCGACAATCTTACTTCTGCGCTGATGCCAATCCAATCCTAGGATCGTCGTCATCCACTCTAGCCGGCAATGACTTCCTCAATTGATCCGGATCATAGAGATCGAATTCCCGTCGATCTTGCGCGCGTTGAAACACTTGTCGATAGTCGTTAATCTCTTTATTCAATTTTCTTCGCTCCTGGGGGATTATTAACAATTAAAACTGCGTCGTTAGGTTTAGAAGGGGTGGAATAATCTATTCCGAGGAAGATGGTATCGTGTAACGTTGCATCATGCCCTTGAATTTCCCTGCATTCTCGGTTTTATAATTAGACGGCTCTCGGGTGTGATATTGCACCCGCGGAGATGAGTTTCGTGGAATACGGTAGAATTACGAGATTTAGTTGAGATTAGCGAAAATATCGTTGAAAAATCTCGAGTTTTCTTTAAGAAATTTTGGAGAAAACTGCGAGTGAAGCGATTTTGCATTGGATCGTTTGAAAAATATTTTTTAGAGGAAAAAGTCCGGTAATGTCGATTTTTTTGTAGCAATTCTTCATCGGAAATTTTCTATTTTTTCTGCTAGATTTTGCAGCGAAGAATAAAAAATAAAAAAAATAGTGAGAGAATAATTCATATAAAAATAAAAATCTAGGGACTTTTATTCTGTAAAATATTCATTGGAAAAATCTCCCGACAGAGTTGCATGATTTTCAACAGAAATCAAAGCAAAAAAAAAAGTAGAATTTCAGTGGAATAACAATAGAATTTTTCAGAGAAAGCATTAGATTTGTATATTACATTTTTTCATATCCATCCATCAATTTTCTTCTCAATCAATGTAGAGGGTATTATAAAATGAAGGAATATAGTGTGACCTCGTTCGCGAGTAGAGGAAAATAAATGGTAGCAATATAAATACGATAGACACGAAGTTTATCGTTTCACCTCTTCCTCTCTTTGCTCAAGTATAATCGCGAGTTGGCTGTTGCGCACTAGTGTCTCATCCAGCTGGTGCTCTTTTTCTCGCTCCAGCTGACGCAGCTGTTCCTTCTCCGCGATCTGCTTGTCCAGGAACTCTTTATCTATCTACGCAGGAATTTTTTTTTGCTATTTTATATGGTTCATGGGAAATGTTGGGAGGAATGATTCGCTCGCTGAGGGATTGACTTCTCTTTATGCAACTCGTCTGAATTGTTGATTTTCGGAACTTTATTATCAATTCGTTGAAATAGACGATGATAAAATTTCATAATAAATAAGTGACTTAAATTCGATTGAGCAATTCTTCAAATAAAATCTTAGAAAACTGTTACAGTTTCATTGATGACCAGAAATTATGAAAGAAATTACTTTAAATTATGAAATTATGAATTCGTCTACTGAATGAACTGAAAAAATTTTTTTCTTACTCAGAAAAATCAAGAGATAACAGATGTCATGAAGCAGAAGTAATAATTTTTAATTATTCATTGGAATGAAACAATTCGTGTCTCATATTTTCCATTAATTGTTTATATCCAGCAATCAAGAAATATGTAAAACCCCAATTCCAACAGAAATTCAATAGAATTGCCCAGCAAAATCTTGTTTTTTTTCAATTAAATTTTTCCATTCACGTAAACTTGAATGAATGCCCAAATTCATTGAGAAAAAACTAGAATTCTCGTATTTTTCTTCTTTCTTTCCTATCGTGGAGTCCCCCAAGGTCAGACCGGGGGAATCGATGGAGCAAACAGTAAGACCCGAACGATAAGTTTGTACAATAAATAGAGATGATATACATCCGGATAACCTCACCCCAATACGTCTCACTCGTGGATTGAAAATCCGCGACTTTCTTGCTTCTTCAATCTGTCTTTTTCTCTCTATGCACGCCGCGACCTTGAGGTCTTCCTTAGTGGCCGCTTGGAACTTGAGCATTTTCCAGTAAAGCTTTCAGTCCACAAAGGCTAAAAAATATGGGAAATCCTCTGGTAAAGATGTCCCTTCTGCGCCCCTTCAGTAAGTCCAATCACAACTCACTCGAGGATTTTAGGACAAAAAATCGTCACTTTGAAATTACTTCTTCGATTTGAAATTGCAAATAGGATAAAAAAAATTTAGTTTAAACTATTTTTAGGAGAAACTATCGAACAAGGGGACAATCTGTAAACGAGGCGAGACAATTCCGGGAACTTTCGAACGACACGACGGTAGTATTATTTCACGAGGTGATCGTGTTACCATGGAAAGTTTGGCTTCCCCCATTAATGATGCGCAATTCTTACTTCTACGACGCAACCAATTTTGGGGGGGAACTATTATGACTTTTTCGAAATCTTTTCATCTCAAGAACATGAACTCAATTGAGTGAATTGCATTTGCATTCACAAACCGTTGATTTATTGTCTAGTAATTGAATGATTTTCTGCTTTCAATTTGTTGAATAATTCCAAAAAATTGAGTTTAGAATTAATTGCTACACGGAGATGAAAATTCAATAAAAATTACCGCAAAAAAAATGTAAAAATTATGTTTTGAAACACAATCTGCGAGCGAAGTAAAATTCAATAAAAAGTGTGAGTCGGAACTGAAATTGTACGAATCGCCACGTAAATTCTACGATTTGTTCCGTAAAAATTACCCACCCGTCTTAAGACTCACCGCTGTGGGGAAAACAAGACGTTCCGTATTTTTTCCCCAACGATTGAGAAATTTTACGGAACGGAACGTAGAAATAACTCACCAGCTACATAAAAATTGTTGAACGTTCAAGAATTTTTGCTTTTGGAGGCACAATAAATCGGCAAGTTTCTGTAAGATTTTACTTCTTCGGGAAAAATTACGTGACAATTTCGTACTTTGTTAGGTGATGAACCTTAAAATTCACTGAACGTTTCAGATGTCTTCTCTTCCATTCCTATAAAAATTGCCGGAAAAAGATTCCCCATTCCGGATTACGTGAATTGTTCCGTAATTTTTGCTGAATATTTCTTTCCGTGCATGAATTATCCGTCTTATTTAACTGTATTATATTTATTCAATGACGAAAATTTCGCTATCTCCCTTAGATTCGGAAATATTCCTCAAAAACTCCACTGGGAGATATGTCGACTTAAACCGTTGGCAGTGTCTATTCGCACGCTCCACGATGAATTTTACCGCGGATTCACGGTAGATTCTGACTCACATCTTGTCTGACATCTCTGTAATGAACTCTGGTTTTCAACTCTGGCAGTTCAGTTGGATACCAGAGTTGTGACAACACTGTCCAGTGGGGTCTAGGAGTCTCCCCTGGTTCAAAACCATCTTTAGAGGCATCGCCACGCCATTTCTCAAGCCGCTCTTTCATTTGAGCGGCTCAACATGACAAATGTATCTAAAGATGATGTCTGTTTTCAATTGGAAAGCAGAGTTGTGACAACATTGTCTAGGAGGACAATGGGGTCTAGGAGTATGTATAGAACATTGGGGTCTGGGACTCTCCGCTGGTTCAAAACCATCTTTAGAGGTCCTAGCACGCCATTTCTCGACCCGCTCTTTCATTTGAGCCCAAAAAAACATTCATATCTTGTCTGACATCTTTGCTACAAACTCGGGCTTTCAACTCGGGCTTTCACTTGAAAACCCGAGTTGAAAACCCGAGTTGAAAACCCGAGTTTGTAGCAGCGAT